TTTTTCTAGTAAAAAAATATCTTTCTATGCCAATTATGATTATTATCTATGACTTGATACTTTTGACTTTTCAAAAATTGATAATCTTACAACAAAAGATTTGGTGAATTATTTGTCAAAACTACGTGCAATAATGAAAGTACAATTAAAAGAAGCTCAAGAATGACAAAAGATCAATTGTGATACCTATTATAAGAAATAACCACAATTCAATATTGATGATAAGGTATGGCTACTTTGTCGTAATATCAAGACTACTCATCCTTGTAACAAGTTGGACTATCATAGGCTTAGACATCTTCTTATTAATGAACAAGTCAATCTTGTTGCTTATCGATTATATCTACTAATGTTTATGAAGATCCATCTTGTATTCCATGCACCTTTTTTTAAGCCATATAAAATAATGAATATCTTAAGAAGAAGATAAATGCCACTTATTCTTATAGAAATGGATAATAATCAAGAATTTGAAGTAGAAAAAATCTTAGATTCAAAGTAGTCCCAAAATAAATTAGAATATCTTATTCATTGGCATGGATGTAATATTAGTGAATGTACATGAGAGCCAGTAAAGAATCTTGTAAATGCAATAAAGAAGATTGATGTTTTTCATTTATGATATCTATCAAATTCAAGATGAAGAATAACAAATCTTTATTATAAAAGAAATAAGATCCAAGAAAGATAGGATTTTACCTTCTACTCTTGTTTGGTACTTTTGTGCATTTGTGATGCTAAAGACATAAAAAACCAACAACCTACAAATTCAACTCAAGAACTATCACTTACTGACTTATCAAATGAAATATTACAATTGTCACAACCTTCAAGACAATGTAATTGAGATAAAGATCTTCAAAAATAACATGTCTTTTTTTCAAATAGATAGTGAGATACAACATATTTGATATTATGACTTTCAAAGAGACTTTCAATGTTTGGTGATTTTATTAGAGGTTGAAACTATTTTAGACCATATTTTAAATATTTTATTTGAAGGAAGTTACAAAGGCCTCAATAATAATCAAACAACAAGGTAGTGTTCTTACCTTGTTATGAGACACTATCAATGGCTACAAAGACCTATCAACCATGTTCAAAGAGAACAAAAATCAAAGTATGTCGTAAACACAATTCACTGTATCTTGGATTTTTTTAACATATGATGACTACTTTTTGTGGAATTCATTCCTAGAAGATGAGGTAATGTCACAGACATACATATTTATTATAATATTTATTTATATATTTAAATATAAATAGGTAAAAATAAATTTATTTCATAATATTTTTTACACAAGCTTTCTAGAAACTTCACAGATGCTGTTTTGACTTTATATGTATTTGTTGTTGATTAATAGGTTAGAAACTTGGTCAACAAGTTAACCACGTATTGGTAGCTTGCAAAACAAGCTAATTATGTAGCATACATATAAAAAAAACTTGTCTTGTAAAGTCAACACATTTTGGAGATCCTATAGGATATCGCCATATAGTTCCTAATTAAGAATATATATGGATGGAAGAATGAAGACTTCTTTACTCTTATCAATGTTTTTTTTAGTCTTTAGTCTTGTTTCAAGACTTTCTAGACTTCTTATCTTTGACAATAGCTATTCTAGTTTAATATTATATCATCTTTAAGTGATCTTCTAATCTTTTCAAGTACTACAAGAGTGTATTATCATTTTAGTTCTTTGAGGTTCGTGTCCTTGATATGAATATGCTACAATATTAAGATTATCCATATATTTTTTATAATAGAAAATATATTTTTAAATATGATAAGTTATCACCAATCTAACAATGGCATAATAATTTTCATGGATTTTATTTATTGTTTTGTCTTCATATAGGGCCCAAATTGCATGCCTTTATAATATCACTTATGATTAGATCTTGACTTAATTTTTCTACTTATTACCTTACAAATTCTAGGCATCTAAAAAATATTTCAATACTTGGTTAAGGCAATGCTTCTTTGCTATAGTATTCACATCTTTCAAATTTCATGCTCTCAAAAATTTGAGTGCATTGTATATATTATTCTTTTAAAAATTCAACGAATTTGTAATTTATTTGTCAATGCTACTTAGACAAGTGTGTCAGTCTTCAATACCTTTATTGCTCCATTATCTTGATTTTCTTGCCAACTTATCCATTGCTTTATTATGCCAATACCACTTCGACAATTGCCATACACCAAGTATTGCATGACTTTGTTAGCACCCAATTTCAAAACCCCTATACTCAACATCTTGTCTCATGCTTTGTTGCTCCATCTTCATACATTTATTTCTAAAAAGACATGCCATCTATACCATTAGGTATATAAAACTACCTTGTATTATTTTAAATATTTTATTCTATTTTTTGGAAATATACCCAATATCATTATAAGAACCATCAATATTTCATATGGATCATATTGTACCTTTTATACACCTACAGACACTATATATAAATAGATTAGTTATGCTTTGTCTATCCAAATTTTGATGTTGCTTCTAGAAATTCTTCTTTTTTTGATGTCATCTTAAATAACTCAAAATTATTAATTGGAGAATCAACAAAATCATACCGCCCAAAAGCATGCAATTAGAAGTATGCAAGTTCTACAATAGAAAAAATGTCATCTTAACCAAATACTAAAATATTATTTTCAGAAAGAAATTTTTAGATTTTAAAAATTTGTAAGGCAAATTGTAAAAAAATAAATAAAGATCTAATCACAAGTGATATCATAAAGACATGAAATATGGATCTCACATAAAGATAAAATATATATATATATATATATATATATACATTGGTGATATCAAATATACATTGCTTTTATCAAATTGGTGATATCATTTATTTGAGGGTGCATTTGCTATTATCAAGAATGTAAGGATATTCTAAATTGGTGATATCATTTATTTGAGGGTGCATTTGCTATTATCAAGAATGTAAGGATATTCTAAATTGGTGATATCATTTATTTGAGGGTGCATTTGCTATTATCAAGAATGTAGGGATATTCTTGATATTTCTTGAGGTTATGAGGGTATATGTGATATTTTACCAAAAATCAACAAATTAAGATATAAACAAAAATCAAATTTCATAAACAACAATAGTTCAATTAAAATTCATCATGGATTTTTTCAAAAATGTGTACTTTTGATTGAAATTTCCTCAATCCTAAAACGTGATGAACTAGGAACCATTTTAGTTGATTACTATAACTAATTAGAATTAAAATAATCAACAATATAAGGTTGTGAGGGCAAAACATACTCCCATATTGTGGTTTAAATACCACTTATAGGTAAATGATATCACTCACCCCAAAACAGACAAACCACTTGCCCAATTCAAAGCCTAGCTCATTTTAATTCCTGCAATGCCAGGCTCATCCCGTAAGTATCATACTCCTCAAATGCAGATAGAGATCACAATGTTCGGAGATCTGTGGAAGTCGATAAGAATGTGTTACAATGCATGAAATGATCCTCAAACTAAACAGTTTCTGTTGTGGGAACAATAGCATGGATGTCTACTGAAAAGGATTGTAGTAATTCTGTACATACTACCCTTTTACTGGTATTCAACAGAAGTGAGCAGAAAAAATATTTTTAAAAATAAGAACTGCTAAAACTCTGTAATGAACTAGCATTAACCTTTAAATGATCTGCTGTGATATGTCGAACCTACCAAACATATCGGGGGCCTTGATGATGCTCACACATTTGCGCTTATTTCTAACTTACATATTAACTACAATCACTTCAGATTACTCCTGAGAGACCATATCATGACAGTAAATGTGATGTACAAAGTATCGATTGCATGGGTAAGGTCATAGGGAGTATTTGTTATTTAGGTACTACAACATAGACACCTGAATTTGCTGAAAGGGTATCTTGTTCATTACTTTTCCAGTTCGTAGTCTCTTGATTTCATCATCCTTTTTCGACTCCGACAAGTTTTCTGTAGTGCAATAGAGAATAAGCACCAGGTTCTCCTCTTAGTGAAGGCTAGCTGGAAAAATATACCTAGAGGCCTTTCAACTCCAGATTTTCGAAAACCTAACGACAAAGTATCAAGGCCAACAAAATAGCCTCTCCACAGAGGTGACTTACCCACCTAAATTTGCCGTGCATGGGGCATATTCTAAACCATGCAATTAGACAATAACCATCTGTCGCGCCACTGCTCTCAATCTGAAGATCCTCGCGACTCAAAGAAGCGAAATAATACATAAACTCACAACCGACCAGATGCAAACCTAGCTGATCCAACTCACGTTTGGAAACCAAACAAGCACAATCCGCATTTCGTAGCTTTCAAGTAAGGATTGCTCATTACCATGTCTCTACCGCATGGAAGACGTGGAGCACATATCTCCTCACCAAATTTTTAGTTCTATCCATTATACAAGGAAGAAGATGCTAGCCCTCCTATTGAAAATCTAGTCCAACTCAAATTTAGGTCGCCACCAACATGGAGGACTAGAACAGGTCCGATTGGCAGTCCAGCGTAAAACCAACAACGAGAACTACATGAGCTAACGTAAAAATACCTTTCGCTGGTTGCGAGTACAACTACGACGTTTACGTAATGGGCTATGGTTTGTAATTCTCGAAATTGAGGCTGAACTCGCAACGTTCAGCCAGCAACGAGCACGCTGCGCAGCTGAATTCTCGACTTCCCCATTCATAATCAAAGCTCAACAGTTCGCCTCGGCAGCCAATTTAGGTTGCACTTGCAGGATTTGTGTGGAGAGGAAAGTGCCAGGGCAACACACCACTTGGACTGGCTGAAGCATGACTAGACATTTTAAAGGTAATATTTGCCTGTATTACATCACCATTGATGTTTATTTAATTAAGAAATTTATGCACCCAATGAAGCACATCATCTTCTTTTGTGACGAACGAGGTCATCCGTCCGAGCCTATCTGTTCAACATGAGTGGATAAATCCGAAACCCTGACTACAGCACTTCGTGGTGTGAGCACCGGTGTTCGCCTGGGAATGGGTTTTGACCAGGGCCCTCGGAGCTTGTGAGGCGGATCATTGGCATCACGCAGCGTATGTCCCAGTACAGGTGAAATGAGAGCGCACGTGTTTTAGCTGGAAGGCCAATTTCGCCCAGGTGCAGAAAAATGGAGACTCGCGGCATCATGTTGCAGGGTCGTCTTTCGTATCCTTCTAGTGCTTGCTTTCAGGGGAAGAATTCGGTCTCCGTGCGCTCACAGCGCAATGTCGTAGGATGTGGGATTTTGTTGAAGAGCAGGAGGAATGTGTGGCTCTGTGGAGGAAGTAGTGGAATTTCTGGGTCCTTGGTGTACAGGAGGGGCAGAAGTGTCAGTTTCTGGAGCTTGCGGGTAGGGAAGAGTAGCGGGGAGGGAAGGGGAGGACTCGTGGTGAGGTGTAACGAGAGCGATGAAGTGGACATGCCTCCGGAGGACCCGGCATACACTAGCTACGTTGATCCCAACACTGGCGAGCCTTCGCCTTCCTATGGTACTAGGGCGCCATTGCCCCCAGCTGCATTCTGGGGGGATGATGCGAAGCGTGTTGTAAGGTCAGGGCAGGCAGCTACTCCCAGTGATACGGGAATGAAGGACCGGGGTGGTGGTGCAATGTCGAGTAGAGACTTTGTCTCCAAGAGGAAGAACGCAAGTGTAGCGAGTCGAGACGGCCAGAAAGTGCCGAATGAATTTGAGGAGGAAGTTGAGGAGGAGGAAGATGATGAAAGGAATGCTTCTGGCGAGGAGGAGGAGGATGAAGAGGAGGATGCTGGGCTTGTTCTCCAGCAGAGTGAAGAAGGTCTTGTGCACGAGTCGGACCAGCGGCTGGAAAATGACGAACTATGGTGGAATCATCAGAAGCCCTCCAAGGATAAGGAGCCTTGGAGTGCATGGCAAAAGCGCATGGGTGACGGTGATAGTGTAATTCCTATGCCGGAACTCAATAACTTTTTTTTGAATTTGGTTTACATTCAGGGTTATTAGGTTCTTTTGAATGATGGGGATGGCTGGTGGGCAATTCAACAGTCACTCAGAAGCTATGATGAGAACCTTGTTTTGTAAATATTGTTTAGATGGGTGTATAGTCAGTATGAATGATACGAGTGATCTTTCTGTGGATAGAATCGATAACTGATGGGTGATGATGGCTTCGGTTATAGGTCATCGCAACAGCAATGGCAAAAGCGGGTCAAATCGAGCTCTTTGGTGATAAACCAACAATAGCCGAGGCCAGTTTGGCGCGAGCTAGGAAGCGTGTGTTTTATGATGAGCGGTAGGCTGCAATTGTTTGTATTTTCAGACTGCATCTTCTTGCTTTCGAGCTATTTAGATTAGTTTTTCCTTGTTTTGTTGAGTTGTTTTGAGCATAGCTCAATTGTTGGGCTTGATGAATTTCGATATATTAATGGGCTGCGTGTGTTAATGTGCTAAACTTCTTATTCTTTTTTCTATCTTGGGTCGCCACTGATTCTTTTGGTGTGCAGGATGCGAGAGGAGGAAGAGCGCAGAAAAGAGGCTGGGGCAGTTGCGTATTATAAGGAATGGGTAGGAAAATGGAAGAAAGATACCTCGAAGGTGACTGTTGAGGAGAGGGCAAAGAGCACGGGTGAAGGGGTGGTGGACCAGCTGCTCGACATGTTACAGCATCAATCTCGTAGGGAATACCGACGCATGCAGGGAACCGATATTCGTATTGCTCGTGATCCTTTGACCTTGCGCATGTCTGACGAGGAAATTATACAAGGTAACTATATTCATATGTATTTTGAATAATTTTCAGTTACAAATGTGTGGAGTCTCAGCCACGATCATCTGTACCTTTTTGCTATAGAATTGGAGATCTGACTTTTTGAATTTCTTGTTGGGCTATGAACACAGTTTGGGGAGGCGATCCCGTTTACCCGACTAAAAACTATGAGCAGGATCCTGATGCTGTAGCTGACTACCGTAATGAGAATTTGCATGAGCCTACGCCGGACATCGTTGATTTATTGCAAGATGTAAGTTTGAATCCAGCTCTTACTAACCTGGTCTTGAGGAAGTTATTGGACTGCTCTTTCATTTCCTACTTGGCAACAGTTTCGGCAATTTCTTGTTCTTGGTGCTGTTCCAGAGGAAGCAGAACCATGTCCGAGTAACTTTTCAACTGTGTTGCGTGAATACCAGATTATATTGTTTCAAGCATGCAGTGTGCTCACAACCCAGGACTTGTTTAGTTGAGGGTCAATAAGTCGTGCTTCAGCATCAGACTCTTGACCAGTACCATATGCGATTTGCGCATTTGAAGCCAGCAACTTAAACTGTTAGTTGGAAGTGTTCGTCATTTTATTCCGAGTCTTTTTAGATGTTTTCCTTTCTCACATTGCCTTATCGATTGGATTTGCACTAACCGCGAGTTGAAATTGTGCTTGTAGGATGGCATACTAATTACCCGAGAACAACTTCAGGAAATACTGGACAGAGAAGAGAGAGAAGAGAGAGAAAAGGAGCTACTAGAGGTATTCCAGCTTTGCCAGATTAATATATGTAAAAATTCATAGAGTCTAGTATGAGCTTTTATCGTCTGAGGCTACTCTGTTATAATTGCCCACCTCTTTATTTGATTGTAACTCATGTTCTCCACTCGGAACATGCATGAAGTTTAAACAGTTTGTTTCTCCAGTCCATGGCCAGAGATACCTGACCAATACCCGGAAAGTGTTGTTTTTGGAAACAAGTAGGTGGTGGATCATAGTAGTTGCAGATATTTCTATGTGGTTAACCGTGTAGCAGTTCTTAGGACAATGGATTGACTTAAACTGTTTTACTGGCGCAGGATGACGAGGATGCAATGACAGGAGCCATCGATATCGGTGACAAAGAGGTATGAATGTGACTGGGATGTGCTACGTGACCAACAATATATCCCATACTTTAAAGAACCAGTAAACTGGTTCGCGATTTTGCTTGGCTTTCTAATTGTAGATTGTTGATTGAGGTGCTTATGGTTCTGTATTGGGATTACATGACAGCTTGATGATGATGATGAAGATGACGACGACGACGATGATGAGGACGAGGCGAGTGACGAAGAGGATTTCCAAGATGATTTAGAGTGGAAAGCGAGCATCAGCCAACATCAACTTCCGTCTGGGAAGCCCAAGTTAAGTAGAGAAACCAAGAAATTCTCACCTGTCATTGACTTGTTGGACCAAATAGATAGTTCCGACTTGCTAGAATATGTCGGTGATGAGGAAGACGAAGAGGATAGCATAAAGGATGTAGATAACTAGCTATTATCTCTAACACATTGATTTCTCAAACATTTGTGGCTCCATCCAAAGTTAGAAAGTAATGAGGAGATGGATACTCCTTGTATGTGCATGATATCGAATGTCCACTTAGCCACTCTTGGGCAGTGTGTGTATATATAAACACACACATATTGGTCCCCGATGCGCTTCTATTTAGCACAAATCGATTGTTGTAATTCAGCACTAAAAATATGAAAGATTGGGTTTCAGTAACAGCCTCTCTGTTATAGCTGTTCCCTCAAATCACTTCAAACCCAACGTCTTCTTATCTGCCGTTACATATGTCTATAATGCTTGGGTTTCTTGCATAAATCTATTGAGTATACCTATTGCCCGAATCCTGTTTGCACATCGACCAAATTCATTTTTGTAGAATATAAGATAGATGTCAAACTTTCCAAAAGAAGCCACAATTGATGGTTACTTGGTTGCAACATGCATTCTGCATATGTACAGCAACCTGTTGTAACACAAGCAGCATTCATACAATTTGCGCAATATGTAGTGATTTTGTTTGCAACAATACCAATCTTTGTGAATATGGGTGGGAAAAGTTGTGTTTTTTTTTTTGTACAAATTTTATTTGTTTGAATGCATATTAAGAGGGCAATAATATTGCATGTCTCACTTGTTTGTAGAACAAGCTTTGGTTATTGGTTGTGGATTTTTGGAATGAAAGTTTTACAACATAAGACTATTGTAACAAAGTATTAACTATGATTGCAAAATTTATGTTTGGTGCTAAGCTTTCAAATACAAAAGAAACTAAATAAATTATCAATGCAATGTTTTATTCATTATCTTGTAAGATTTTGTTTACTATAATATATTTTATTAAGATTCTTTGACCATAAATTGAACATTTTATTATGATCTCTTGCTTGTGAATTAATTAGATTTTTTTGCAACCACAATTTGCATATATAATTGTAATGAAATAATTCTTTTATAATATCTATATTTATAAGCACTCAATCTTTGGTAATATTAGCATTATTATCACTACCATATTTTTTAACAAATCGTGTTTTTCAATTTTTATGTTTGTTGTCTTGATTTATTTTACTAAAGAACTAAGTTTGGAACAATGTTATATTTTGACCAAATATTTTTTGAGCATATTCAAATGGTTTTGCTACAAAATCTATAACTTGTTGTTTGATTGTTTGTTTGTTTATTTGTTTGTTTTTATTTTTTTTTGTAAATAATAATTCTAATCCTATGATTACCAACTCATTCAAAACAAAAAAAACCCCTCAAACTAAGGGCATTCATCCAATCCATGGATTATGAAAGGGCCAAGGGCACAATCCCAAGTCAGCCAGTCAGTCAACGCAACAACCGTGTGGTGGCGAGAAAGGGGGCCTAAACCCAAACCCACCAATGGTGTGCTCCCTATGACGAGACGATCCCCGAGCCTCCCCCCGCACCAAACCCACTTCGTCACCGTGCCAATCACCTGGTGGCCGAACCACGTCCTCAAACCTCAAACCTCAGGTTTGGAACCGAGCCTCCTTCCTACCTTCCTTCGGACCTGGTTGGTTCATGGAGACTGACTGACTCGGGGCTTTGCGGCGATGTTGTATTGTGTTGTGTTGCATCGGACTTTGAAGATCTGTTCTGAATATCTGGAGAATCGAATCCCCTCACACTCGTCGTCGTAGCAGTCTTAGTGTGAGTTATTTTTTTGCAGAGATCGTTGCAATTTCAGTGCTTTCTCTCTATATTTGGTTCTCGTAAGCCCTCGCGATGGAGGCGGTAGATACTGTTGTGAGGCCTGTGAAGGACTTCGCCAAGGACAGTGTGCGGTTGGTGAAGAGATGCCACAAGCCAGATCGGAAAGGTTCGTTTCCGTGTGTTTGGTTCTCATCAAGCTTTTGTGCGAATGTGGTCGCTGTGGTGTTTTTTTTTGCATCATTTTGGGTTTTTAAGATCCTTTGAAGGGCCAGCACGTTGAGATCCTGGGTGCGTGTGGCTATTGGTTTTTATTTTTTATTTTTATTTGGTTTAGCGATGTTGGTTAGAGTCCTTTGAGTCAGATCCAAAAAAAAGGACAGTGCAGCTGCGATGATTTGTGACATTCTCTACTCTGTATGAGTTGGTCCTTTTTCCGAGTCGAAATGCTTCATTTTTTCCCTTCTCGATCTTGCCTAGGATGAGTTGTCGGTTTTTGGCCGGAAGTGAGTGGATGGGAATAGCGGAATTGGAGACTGAGAGAGAGTATTAAATGATGTAAAATCCATTGTATTTAAATCACAACCACGTCTCTATCACCTTTTTTCTGCCGTTTCGAGCAGCCCTGCGGCGAGCTGTAACAACTTAATATTTCTATTCTTATTTGACACGCTTTGTGCGGCTGTATCGATGCGCTGAATCAACTGATCTTCTTCGAGCGCGCTCTCTTAGGAGTGCATGAGCTCCATAATCTTAGTTGATTTACTGTTTCTCTTACCTTGCAGAAGCCATGATTGGCTTCTGTAAGCGTCATTCAAATGTTTGCCTCGTTCAATGGCTTGATGAATATGTCATTTCTCTTTGATACAGAATTCTCGAAGGTTGCCATAAGGACCGGGCTAGGGTTTATAGTAATGGGATTCATCGGCTTCTTTGTAAAGCTCATCTTCATCCCCATCAACAACATTATTGTTGGAGCCGTGTAGTGTGATGCTGTGAGTTTCTCCCCGCAGCATTACTTCTGCTTTTCATGAGTTGCCTTATGTAAATGTTCCGTTGTGGCGTTGTCAGCCGTCAGAAGCTTGTATAATATTTGGACTTTTTCAGGGCTTCGTTGAGAATTTCCAGCTACTATGTCTGATGACAGAAAACTGCAGACGTTTCTTGAATGCTCATTTTAATTTAAGATTTATTGTGCAGGGACAAATATAAGCATGTTTAGAGGCTCGACACAAGCTGAACGATTGGTGGGATTTGCAAGCTTAGAGGGTGAAGGCAATAGAAGTTTTTATTGAATCAGGCCTTAGGAAAACTTTAACAGACTCTATTTGTACTGAATCAGACACACTTTGGCTGCGAAAGTCTTATTCACATTTGCTCTAAACCAAACCATGGAATCAAGATTTTACCGCTATTACATCTGTTCTTTAGACCATATTTTTAGATCATTTGAGGGAATTGTCAATGTGCTATCATCAAGTGTTCGCGAGTGTTAATCGGTTTCAAAGACAAATAAGCGGAATAGTGCAAACGTTTTTGAGATGAAATGAGACATGAAAATGGGCACGTCAGTGTTGAAAACGCTCATCAGTAATTTGAGAGCAGTTCTCTATAACATTTCTTGCGTTGCTAAAATGTACATTAGCAAATCATGTAGCAATAGCACACTTGTGTAATGTGACATTACTGTTTTCAATCAGGTTCTATCACTATTCCCATAGGTTATTTACCGATTCTCTTGCTTTTTGAGTCAATGGTTAGTGCGCAGGGTGTCGATATCAAGTTGACCATCTCGAGATTTCCTTTTTCGTCGCTTCTTCTCTGCAAATCCGGTCAGTCGCGCACATGCAATTTCAAGACTAGCAGGTGCCATGGACGCGTAGCAAACTCGAAAGAATCCTGGTTCTGCGTAATGGCATGCTTGACCTGAAAAGTAAAACATTTTAGTTTGCGTGCTCACATACCGCAATCAAATACAAAGAAACATGCCGAAAAAATAAAATCGCAAACCATTTTTCAGCTTCAGTTTCTAAGAACTTAATTATTTCAGAACGAAAAATCCACCGCAACAGTCAAAGAAACGGGACACCACCTGGTGTGAGAACTATCCGACATTCATCAAGAATCTCCTTCCAGAGATTATCTTCTGCTGTAAATGTGGGCTGCAAACGGGTTAAAACATAATCTCGTCAGGCTGCCCAATTTGCCAGCTTAACAAGCTCAGGTACGGCATAGTATGCGTTTGACCACTAGCTTTGAATTTTTACTGCCATGACATCAATAAAGTTGATGTTAGCCAAGAATTAACGTTGGGTATTAGTTAGGTTCCACATACCTCAGTCAAAAGGCTTTTTAAATCAAGCCAGCAAAACATCGCTGCACATGCAGGCATGTATCGAAGATTTGCTGCCTCGAAAGACTTAGTTAAGAGCTCATACGACTTCTTCAACCGCCTGAGATTGCATCCACCATCCGAGTGACTCAGTGAACGTTGGATTCAAGCTAAGAAGCAAACTTCATGGAACTTTGTAAAGCTTCTGAGAAATATAACGACTGGGAGCTTAACTAAATGAAGCTGAAATCCAATCAACTCTCAAAGATTCAGTATCGATATACCACATGCCAAGTAGAAATGATTCTTTTGACCCTATGTGTTGCACACTAGAAACCAACCTGTTGTTCTCCTTGACGTATTTATCTACAAAATTTTCATCTTCCAGCATGATGGCTAGCGCATGCTGAGTGTCGTTTGAAACTGCTGCAAACATGCCCATGTTTTGCCAAAACTGAGCATCACACATTCACCTTTAATTAGAACATAATGGATGTTATTGTGGTATGTCTTCAGTCAGAAGAAAACAAAATGAAACGCAACAAAAAGGAACCAAACAAGAAGATCTCAACATCAGTCACGTCACCACTGCAACAGTCAAACAACTCTGATCCGGCACACGATACGCCGGACCACAATACACAAGTATTTAGCATTCAAGAAAAGAAGCTTAAGAAGTAACATGTCACCTCAAGCAGATCCTTGTTCTTTGTATGAAGACAACCCACACGAAATCCATTCATTCCGAAGTCTTTGCTCATGCCGTAGGCAGTATGGACAAGCTCAGCCGCAGTTTCCGCAGACAGAAGACCCTCCATTACAGCATTCTTGGTCACCTTTTCCATGCTCACAAACTCGTCCACCGAGGGCCTAGACCAACAACGTTTTTGGATTGAGAAATCTGAACAACAAGCTAGTCTGTCAGATCAAAGTATTTTCAGCTTCTTCAATTGCTAGATAAAACAACATTAGCTCGTCATAACTAAAATAACCTAACCACACAAAAGGTGGGTGTAAACGCTAAAAGTAAAGTACTAACCCAAATTTAGAATTTGCGTAAATCTCATCTGAGAGCACATGTAGACCTCGTTTGACAGCCCAAAGAAGAAGCTCCTGCTCATACAAACACGCCTGCAATAAGCATAGAGTACACGCTGGTCCCCCCCCCCCCTCTCTTTTTATAATTATTACTAGCCTCGTCCATCAACACCAAGTTCAAGAAATGGCCGATTTCATTTATTACCTTAAGAGTTGCCTCTGGATAAAGAGTGCCCAATGGGTTCCCAGGATTAGTCACTAGAAGCATCCGAGCACGTATGCCTTTCGACTCCGCAGCCAGTACAGCCTCTTCCATCTCATGCACTGTTGGGATGTATGTGCGAGTATCAGTCGGCTGAACTGGGATTGGAATGACCTCATTCTGAAACAATGATGCAAAGTCAAGTTACCTTATTACATAGCACAGCAGCAAGAGCAGAGATATTAAATAAAGGCCAGGAAAAGTCATGAAAACAGAAGAGTAATAACAAAGTACCACAGCGGCTGAATTCTATGGAAAGGCCAATACTAAGCAGTATGAACAGTAGCAAAAACTTACACGGATGGACATGTCATTATCAAACGCAGGAAAGTATGGAGCTGGTATCAAGCATCCATCGCCAGGATTACAGGTTGCGAAGAAGAATAGATCGAGCACGCTGACCTTGCATAAAATTGACAATTGTGAGGCACAAAGTCTAATCATATGACGCGTCCTAATTGAGAAGCAGCTGCTTATATGATTAAGGGCACTGACAGTATAACCTAAGATCTCAATTACACCAATAACCATCAACTGGAAAAAGCATAAAATCTACTGCGTTCTAATGAAATCTTACTACGGCGAAATATGGGGGACGCAACTGATCAGACCTTCAAATTATAGAGTGAACACAGGTTACTTACGCTGTGACACCACTAGATATGCATATATGGCTCGGATCAACCTGCGGAAAGGAAGCACCATAAGTTCGATCACCATTAAAAAGATTGTTAAAAACTGATGCCACGCATTCACTTCGTCGATCTGCCTACAGAACTAGGGGTCAGCAAAAGTTTCTCTTGCCGGGGATTATTACAAGAGAATTCCGCTCCTGCCAGAAATGTCTCCAAATCAAAAATTGAACACTTGAGGAGTTGGTTTTCCCTAAAGGGACCATGGTGGCAGTACTTTGAATGTTAAAAGCGAGTGTGAAGTATCAGTGTGAAAAGTTATGAGACTGAATGCACCAAAAGACTGGAGACATACTCCCTGCAGGTGAGCTGCAAATACCTCAACCCCCATGAATGTCCTCTCCATCATTCGAGAAATAGCATTCCGAAGCCTCTCGCCTCCTCGGAAATTTCCATATAATCCAACAGTGGCTGGAACTTCCCTACAGCTCCTGCACCCGTGATCTTTCAGCATCAACATCATGTTGATGCTCATACTAATCTCGAAGTCAAAACGGCGAGACCAACGTATACACAGATTATCACTCTCTAAATAATACTCTGCTATCATCACAAATGAATGAAGAACGTTGAATTTACCGTATCTTATCGTGGACAAGATCAAAAGATAAGATACTTTCGGCGGTGGCCATCTGTCCATCCCAACACACCACGGTACAGTTGTATCAAGCGCATTGATCCACCTCACATCACACCTAGCGCTTAAGAATTCTAACCGGAACTTGTTGTAAACTTCTCGCAAGTGTAAAATTGTGTTATGAGAGGAGATCTGCATAGTTCTGAACGGTAGAGCGTCACTAGGATGCATTCCGGAATCGCATTGCAACACGCCTAAAGAAGTGATCCTCTATTACGTTGAAGCTTCGGGAAAGCCTGATTCAACGCGCACAGTATTATGTGGAGTCACCATTTCTACTAAATTCACGTGCGTACAAAGCAGATTTAAAAAGATGAGGGTTACATTTGTGAGTCGAAAACAACAGAAGAAGCTGTTTGAAAGTCATCTGGTTGAAAATACTTGTGCCACATCGTAACCAAGGCTACTAGGTAATTGCTTCAAAACACAGTGTCCAACCATCAAAAACTGTGGAAAAACAACAGAATGATACCACAAAATAGCCTTCGGGGTTACTGAGGCTCCACGGATTCTTTTTCGCCTCGTTGACGGCTTTGATGTAAGGAGAGAAAGGTGCAAGAGCTCTTCGGCCTCTTGTGGATAGACTGGTCCGACCACACTTGAGGTTGAACTCGCCATCCTTGGTATCTCCATTCATTGGCATTGTTGCTTTTCACAGCTTCTTTGTAGCTCCTATCTCACATCTCTATCTTCAAAACCCGCCACCCAATCCCAAATACCTCCGCGGACGCTAGTATCCTTGAAACTCTCACACTCATAGAGGCAAGCTAATCTTCACAAGAACAGAACAAAAGACGAATCCTCGAACGCGCCACGGCCGCCCAAAGGGAGCAAGAATCACAAACACACAACCCTCGAACCCTCGACGCCCCGTCTCCACGATATCCCAGCCAGGAATTCGATAACACTAAAACCCGGCGAGACTAGATATGACCAAGCCAGTCCCCCCGCACAAGAGCGTGCAGACCCACCAACTGGAAACAGAACCCCCGTTGGCTACAGTTTTCACGTGAATTGTGTCTCGATCATAGGCAGGAGAAGGGAGAGAGCGCGGAGAACCGTAGCCTTGCAACACAGGACAGAATAGATCTCCGACGGAAACGTGAAGAATCAAGCGCAGCAGAAAGGAGAATGTGAGAACAGAGGGGCACGGGCATTGCGCATGTGAGGAATCATATACCCCCCCCCCCCCCCCCCGTCTTCGGGGCCATGGCTCCCCCTGCCCCGTTCCGCCCCGCCCCCGCCCTCTGGGCCTCGCTACCGCCGCACCTGCCTCCAGCCCTCTCTACCCCCGACCCATACGATCCTGAGGACCCCCGACCCCGCCCCCGGGACCCGCTTCGTGTCCACATTCCCCTCGTCCTCGCTCATCTTCAAATATAAAGCCTGAATACCCCATTTGCTAAATTCATGGACATGGAATCATGAGTGTGCACTTGCAAAAAGAGTGGGTAAGTGAGTGAGTGAGTGATACTGGTCGATAGTGATGGCCATTGTCTCGTGTTGTTCCTACCCATTTATTGTCTTGTGCATGGCCTTAACTATTTGCATTCTTTTACTACTTTTTCGTTTTGTTTTGATTTTCTAATGTACAATATATTTGGAACAACGATGTGAGAATAAATGGTTTTTTTTTGCGTTTCTTATTGAAAAAAATTATATTTAAATGTTTCTCTTTAATTATATCGAGATATTTATAACATAACAAACACAAATCAAGTTTTTAGATGATTATTGTATCCCAACATTGAACAGAAGAAGTTGGATTGCTGGACGCGTGTAATTTTTTTGTCGTACCTTATCAAACAAATTTTTATTCAAAAAAAGTTAAGAAAACGTATCTAATAGCATTGCTAGTTAGATATGAAGACTTTGAGCTAGAAATTCTTGTGCAATTACATTATATTTATTTTTTCTTGCATTTTCGATTCATGTTTTAAATTTATATATATATATATATATATATATATATATATCAGGTTTCATGTTTGATATAATTAACAAATAAAAAATACAAATATATTTAAGACTATAGAAAATACAATGATATACTGGAAAAAGTCTAACAATAAATATGATTTAATAGTATTGCAGATAAATCAATATTAAAAAATACAAAACACATTATACATATTTTTGTAATGGCAGAAACAATGTGGCTGATCATCTTTGAATGGTACAAAACAAATAATCATCTATGATATGATTCTTTAATTAATGAATGAATAATGCTATATTTGATAAGCATAATGAATAAGTAATTTTCTCATGCAATTACATAAATAATATTATGATTATAGAATTACATGAGTAATTAATGAATGAATAATGATATATTTGAAAAACATAAAGTAAAATTTGCATTCAATTGATTTTTTTTCAATTAAGTGGTAATAAGGTAAGTTGCTGAAGGTTTAAAATACAACAAAGTACATACATCAACGGTGGTGGGAGCTTGTCTAAAACTAGTAGACTATACAGATATCATAATTATGAATATTTGAAACAAGCTTAATAATTAGAGTATTGCCATAGAAGCTCTCGAAACTTAATATTTGAACAGCAAGTAAAGGTTTTGGTATTAATGTTTGAACACGACTTCACATCTTTGAATATATTGGAATTTAAAGACATACAATGAATAAAGCTGTACATTGTATGTGAAGTCCATGTATTGGTTAACCATGTAGATGTGAGAACCTTGTTGTTGTGGGAAGGACATGAGGAACGGTTTTGCGATTCCTACATTCACGTGTTTAAAGTTGTCCTATGTTGCCAGATAAAGAATCGGTAAGGATTGGGCATGAAGTATGGAACGATATTTGTTTCATGATTCTACACAAGTAAAGCAAGCGTGCACAGTGATTCCTAACAAGGTCAGGTTATGGTTGGGCTGTCTGGGATGGAGATAAGGCCATCTTAAGAAATCAGTATGATGGTGATCCGGAGACAAATTTGCGAGCGTCGTGTCGCAGACCTTTCCTTGGTGACTCAGATAAAGCTGATGCAAATTAAGCAGTAATGTAGGAAGATACAAATAGGAAGTAGATACAAGGACAGCGGGAGACATACTCTCTAATGAAACTCAGTGCGCTTGGAACAGCACTGGGAACTCAAAAGCAGTACCACTAAGGGCCAAATTCGTAGCCAAGTCCAAAAGAGGCGCCATGGAATTGAACATTCTGTTCTAAAATCCAGTAAGTAATGTCAGAACAGTGGAATTTCCGAGCATTATCCACTCGAGCTTGGATAGAACCAAAGTTCATGCTCGTGAACAGTAATCCATAGACTCAGTTATCCACCTGAAATTTCTGGCGAATGGTGTGGAGACAAGTTTTCTAAGCAAGTGGTAAATTCAACATCTACCCTAGAACTTTGCCTCCCTATCGAAACCTACAACTTGCACAAGTTGCACGACTATTTAAACTAAGATATTCACATCACCAGCGAGATTCAGATCCTGTCTTTATCTGCAATTGTTCGTCAATTCACCAAATACACCTCATGCTGGATAATGTATCGTATTGAGATGATGTCATTCAAAAAGCAAGTCCTAGGTTTTAACAGGTGAGGGTCCAAAGTAAGTCTACTACTACATAAAAAACTGTTATGTCAATCTTTTCTTATAATAAGTAATTTAATTCGAAAGCGAGCCTGCATCTTCATGTGGCTGTAGTTTAGTGGTGAGAATTCCACGTTGTGGCCGTGGAGACCTGGGCTCGAATCCCAGCAGCCACAAGAATTTTTGGAGGGTGCTTTTTCGATATCTACACAGTATGAGAGGTTGGTCATGATAATTCTCCTCTTCCGCTGTGAATAGTGCGGAAGTGCCAGGTAGTTGTGATTGCGGTTATTATTTGTACAACTTTTTATTTTATTTGTTTGTCTTATAACATACTATCAACACACATTTTATAGGAGTCTTATTAATCTGATTGTTGATAAAATTTGCTTGTAGATTTAGCAACGATTGAAAATTATAATTACATATACATACAGAACAGATTTTTAAATATTTGTTGAAAACTTTATTGTCAAACATGCTAGTAAAATAAATTAGATATTGGAGAACAATTATAAAGCGAAAAAAAATAGCAAGACTTTTTGTGAAAATCATTGCAAATCTTTTGATGCGATGTTATTAACGCTTGGAGATCAATATTTGTACACATGCTAAAGAAAAGTGAGTGTGGACAAGAAGTGAATGTAACAAACTATGTTAAAAGAGACAATTATAAAGCAGGAACAGTAAATGGCTTCAGGAATAATTTATTATTTTCCAGAAAATATAGCCAAAAGCAGTTTTAAAAAGTTTATTACTACAGTATCTAAATTTTACATCTAATTATATATTTCGATCGAAGCAATTCAACCTAAAATTGAATGAGAGTTTGCTTTCAACCCTTTGAAGAACTTAAGTCAATATCAGTATTGCCTCTAGTTTCGCAACTTTTCAGATTTTGAAAAGATGTTGAGAAACACTTGCAGTACCATATTAGACGTATGGCCATAAAATTGAATGTTTGCTATTAAGAATTTAATGAATTCCCAAATTTTTGGTTTACTATAATAACGTTTAAATATTGTAGGATACATTTAATCAAAGGTCTTATTTTAAATCATTAAAGTTGTTCATATGAAAATTCCTCATCAAATAAGTCGACAAGTTTTTTTTTATACACGATGAAGAATGTGATGATTGACGCTTCATTATTTATTTATTTCATTTTTTGCTACAAATACCAGGAATAGCACAACCCAACTAATTGATATTTGGAGCCTCTTTCATTCTACTATGCAGATTTCATATACTTCAACAATTGTTCTTTGAACTTTGTCCTCGTTTCCTAAAACATTCTGTGTGGTCACTGAATATGGACATTTCAAATATATTATCTTCCAGTCCACATTCAAGGTCATAACAGATCCAAGAATTATCAAGCATGAGTATCTCGACCCTCAAAACGAAGTCTTCTAGTGAAAGATATTACTTAGAGCAACATAGATTTGCCAAGCCAGTCTGTAATTAAATTATTTAATACAAAGTCAAGTTAAACATCCTCATTAGTTTGTTGCATAGATATTAACAACCGGACCTGAACACGGTTTTCAAATGTAGAATAAATAACCCTAAACCCTAAATCCACAACTTGTGGAACAAGCAAACCAAATCACAAAACAAAGTCACCAGTGGCCGAAAGGTCAAGTGGAACGCGTCAACGATGGATGAATGTATGAATTCGTCGGACGGCACAAGCACCGTCGTCATCGGCATTGCTTCCGTTGCTTCGCGGGAAAGGGTGTTCGGCGGTATCGGTCTAAGCCCGCAGCCTTTTATGCACCTCAGCCGTCTCCGTTACTTTCACTATGTTTTGTCTCTGTGATTGTTGTGGCTGCTGCTGTTGTCGTTGTTGCTGCATTCATGCGTAAGTGTTCTAGTGTTCTTGTGTTCGGGAATATTTAGGGTTTCTGTGGTTGAGTATTTCTCGAGGTGTTGCTTGTGAACGCTGTCATTGGTTAGGTGCTTGGGGCACAAGGGTGTGTGGTGTTTCCTTGGTCCGAAAGGTTCGTATCTTCTGTGGTGGATATAGCCATGGTTGCGAGCATGGATGCTGGATCGCAACACCTCGGATATCTTGTTGCGCCGTTCGGTGCTGCTCTGTTTCAGCGCCAGTGGCGGGGCAAGGGTGCGAAACGCATCGATCAAAGGTATACCGTGAACACTCGTAGTGTAGTGAGAGGGAAGAGTCAGGGTCTCGATTATTCTAGGGTGAAAGATTTGCAAAAAAACAATCGTTTGCATCCCCGAAAGTTCCACAGGAAGAGAAAATCGGTTTTTCGTACCGTTCCTAGGGCCCCTTATAACGACAACTCTTTTCTTATGCGAGTTCGAAGGTCCGGAGGTTTAGACTGTACTATCTCCCCCGCGCCTTCTTCTGACCTTTTATCGTCTCCTGCAGTTTCTTATCATGAATCAAGTCCTGGTGAGGATTATGGCTATGGCTCAATGACAGGCCTTATCCGTCTTCGACCTGCCCCAGATTGTGATCGTACCAGTAGTAGCAGCAGAAGTAATGTTGAAAACAACAGTTCTGCTGATGACATGTGTGTGGAGCCACCTTCAGTCATTCCTTCGGATTCCGCAGATGAAGTGATGCAGCGGATAGGCAACAATCTTAGCCAGTTCGAGATGATTGGCTCTTCGCCCCGGCATTCGGATTACGCGCTCACCGAAGCGCGCCTGACAAGGCAGGATGCTCATATAGAATTTTTAGAGAATGAAAATTTTGTCATGAAAGAGCGTCTTTCCTTGATACAGCAAGAATCCAACGAACTTAGGAAAAGATTTACAGGAGGTCAAACTGGTGAATACGTGGACGAAAGTGATGATTCGCAGTCGTGTATTTGCAGTTAGGCTCAGCATGCGCTATGTGCATGCATGGTTGTGCTCACTTGACCTGCGGTTTGCTTGTGTTGCCTTCGAAAATATGGTAGCATCGAGGAGCTCGCGGATACATATCGGGATTCGTTCGTAAAGAGCAAGCCTGTTTCTTGGTGATGTCTAACATCATGTAAGTCAGAGCTTTGAGTGTTTACTAGTTAGATAGGCATAGTTTTTGGGGGGGTTATCCAAAGCTCATGCAGATGATATCTGTTCCTCGTTCTAGGATTTAGTGATCACTCCTGGAGAAAATCTTGATGTTGGATTCTTGTACAGGTGGACTTCGCTGTCACGTACACGATCTCAAGGTTGCTACTGGTGTGACTGAGCTGGTAAGCCAACACATAAACTTACGCAGGGGATTGTTAGACATCCAGTTTTGTATGTATATGTACAGATGTGGGAATTTCCATAGGTGAAATTGAAGCGTAGTTAGTGATGTAAATTTCTTGAGAACAAGAGCCATTTATCATGTATTGTACTTTCACTTGGATCAATGGAACATATTGACTGCTTTGTTGCAACGAAACGCTGTCCTGTTGTCTCCGATTTCTATGTTTGTCATGCGTTTATTGACAACTTTTTTTGTTCGTGCCATACTGCTTCATCATGAAAGTTCGCGTTACCTGCAGACGTGAAGAATAATTTGACTGTTGATAGTTTAATTGCAAATGGTGTTGCTGGACCAAGATATATTCGTAACTAGATGTCAGGACTCACTGTGACAGTCTCACGCTTGCCTGACACCTCGCAAGCTTGATTAATTCTGTAACTCCTAACAAATCTTACTGCTCCATCGTTATGACAATTGGAAACGCCAACTTGGACGGGCCGATGATGACATGGAGACTTTCTGAATTTTTACATGTCTTAACAAGCAAACATTTATCTTGAGTTACACAAAGTAATTGTGACGTCTTGTTTGACATGAACTGCTGCCTAATGTCTTGTACTGTGTGTTTCATTATTGTAATTGTTGATTGATGAATCTTTGGTTGATCATGGCGAGAAAGACGTAGTGTAGTTTGGTTTAATCCTTTGCCAGCCTTGGAGGCCAAAGCAACAGTTTTATGTTAACGGTGCTTGTTCTTACTTAAAATTTGGCAGTTTCAAAAATTGATAAATGGATTATCATGGTCTTTTGTCAGGACATGATCAGCCGCGCTCACGCGATGGATACCTGCACAACTCAACACTCCCTACTCTTTTGTCTCGTGTACCCCATCAAAACAAGTGAATCCTTGGATAAACACATCTAAAGAGTTTGCTCACGATTTTGCAGAACAGGCACCTAGCTCTCATTCCCACCATTTTACCCCATCCGTCATCCATGTATGTCTACAATCATGATGTCGTGAACTGATCACTATCACGCAACCAATTGTTGGGAGTCTCAAATTTTAGAAGAATCCGTTTTCTTAAACGAAATCAGAAAATCATTTATGAGCAATTAGTGAGGGTCAAATATTAAAATAGGCTAGTGCGGGGATACATTTGGATTTTCTGTTCATCTTGTACCAGGTGGGAACTATTCCGCGACGGCCGCTCGCTCGAACACATTTGTGGCAAAAACGACAGTGATTGGCTCACGTGAAGTCCGATGGATTGCGGAAGCTGTGACTGTAATGGTTATCTGCACCATCGCAGGCAATTGTTGACAAAAGTTCTACTCTCCAGTGTTTGACCTTTTTTTCGTTCGACCTTCATAGTATCGCAGCATCCACACCCTTCAGGGTACCTAACCCGAAGGTGGATAGCCCCTCCTTCAAACCTTCTCGGTGGGGAGCTTCTATCCTTCACGCCCCATCGCATCGTGGATAACGGCGTCGCACCTCCTGAGACAGAATGCTTGACCACAGTTGTGCGGGTTACAGCGCGAACCAGGTGGTATCTCAGAATAGATCTGCCAACAAAACTATTCATTCTAGAAGATTGCAAGCATGTGTCACATGCAAGATACTTGTGTTCTATTTTGTAAAAATACACTTTCAAATCCTAGTTTGCGAAAGCTTTTTTTATGCTTTTTCAATTGCAGTTCAATGTGTGTTCATGTCTTGACAGCTCATTTCAGGACGGCCAAGCTCCATTCTCCGTCTGTGTGATGTAATCCGGATTAGCCACATGGACTTTTCGCACATTAACCGAATCATGAAACAAAAGTTAGAGCAAGAAGGCAATTCTGAAGGGTTATCTAAATATATAATGTAACAAAGGAAATGGAGCCACATCATCTTCAACTAACTGATGAAAGTATATAGCTGTAGATATGAACCTCTGAACGCAGCCACAACTTATATTTTTCCAAAGATTAAGTGATTAGCTGTGTCGCGCCAGGTAGGGGTCGAACCTACGACTTTCTGCTTAGGAAACAGACGCTCTATCCACTGAGCTACAGGCGCCCACTGACAACGGCAATTACATGACTTTATTTGTAGTATACTTCAAAAATTGCAGTGCATGCTACAAGTGCACAATAACTTACTGCAGATATCCGACAGCCACTCCCTCAGCTAACCCCCCAAATCACCTCTTGTCGTGCACACAGGCAACTCTGCAATGACTGGTTTATCTAGTTCCTCCCTTGGGGAAAACTTAAAACTCCACACCATCAACCCACCACGTCAAATCTCTGCATGAAATCTCTCCATTCCATTACCCGTGTCCCAGCCTTCACAGGCAGAGTCTGGACCTACGCAATCATCTTTCCACATTTGGCTATTGCATCGTAACATAAAAAACCAACCCTTCGTCGAAGAAAATTGCACTGTCAACACTTCTGTCCATTCATCGTCAGACATCAAGCTATAGGAAGCAGTCAATTGACAGTAACGTAGCATGAATGGAGAAAGTAGAAAAGAAGGACGAAGAAGAAAGAGCAGAAAAGCTTACATGTGAAATACTGAGATACAGAAAAATTCTTATAAATTGCAACACTTACAAGATGCACCATGGGACCTACCAAAACTCATTCCATTACAACTGTAGCTCCTACTGACTTCAACTTCTCAATAATTTGATCTGCTTCTTCTTTACTAACTCCAGCCTTCAGCACGATTGGTGCCTTTTCAACTAGTTCTTTCGCTTCTTTCAGCCCCAATGCAGTGAATGTGCGCACCTCTTTAATAATTTTGATCTTGGAGGCAGCATCGAATTTTTCTAGCTTCACATCAAAAGAAGTCTTCTCCGGCTTCTTCTCCTCTGCTGCTGCAGCTGCACCACTCGAACCAGGCATCCCCATTCCTGGTGGCATCATGCCCATTGGCATCATTCCCATCCCAGCTGGCAGCCCTAACTTTTTCTTCAACAAAGTGGAAAGATCCACGGCTTCGACCATCGAAAGCGTTGAGATTTCGTCCGCAATCCTCTGGACCTTCTCAGATGGAGGTGTTCTAGCCTCCGAAGGATCATAATCAAGTTCAATTACAGCGGCGCTGCCAAGAAGCCTTACCCTTGATGGTCCAAAATGAGAGCCTTGCAACGAAAGACGCGCTGCAATAATCCGAGAGGATCGCACTAACGGGGACCTCGCAGAACATGACCACAATCGACCCATTGTACTCTTATTCTGCGCGCGCAAATCCTTCTCTCTTTCCCAATACCGAATACACGTATGTATGTCAAGCACACGAAAGCGTACTCTCCTCACGACATCGTCCCCGTCCTCCTCAATGATCCAAAAGCCAGCTTCTACTCAAGTAATCCGCCGCCTAACCTCCTACAGCTCAGGATTCCATGGCCACCCCTTAAACCCTAAACCCTAAAACTCTCTATCCAGCCCAAACCCTTGCTAAAGATCGAACCCACCAAGCACACGCATACGCATCCGCAATTCGCACAACTAATGATATCTCTCTTTCTCCTCAAATGCGAGATGAGATTCCACGAGCACTGCAACAATCTCACGATGATCAAACACTGGACGATGACATAGAAAAGCAGCAGCAGCCACGTAAGGAGATGCAGACAGGACTATTATACATGAGTCCCGAAAAACGGAGCCAGGAAACTGAAATAACAGCAGAGAAATCGGGAGAGGAGTGGGAGAGGGTCACGGTGGCGCCGCAGACACACACAGTCCCCGTGTAGCCCTCCCTGGCCTTGGAAATTTGGCCTCCTTTGCTTCTTGCTCACACTCGGCCTCACTCACTTCACTTGAGGGCAGGAAAGGAAGAAAGAAAAGAAAGGAAAGGAAGGAAAGGGAGAACTCTCTCTATCTCTCTCTCTCTCTCTTGCTCGCTTTCTTTCATTTCATTTCTTTCATCAGCCTTCCTTCCTTCCTTCCCTGTGGTCTCTTCCTGAGTGCCCAGGGGCGCTGCTTCTCCGCAACTACCTGGTGCTCCGCGAATCTACATAAACTGGATGGATGTGGAATCGACTCCGTAGATGATTATGACCTTGGGAAGAGTGCTCCCCATTGAGAACCCTCTTTGTATTGTACCCGTTCCTTGCTCTTCTGATCCAAGCACCATTTATTCTTAAAGGGGGGGGGGGGTGGTTGAATTTTGATTTTGTTACAACATGTGTGGATTGATTTTTGGTTTTTTGAATTTTTTTATTTAACATCTTCAAATCCATTCTATTTAAATTTTTATGACATTAAAATTCTAAAAAAATTATAATTAAAATTTTGCACATTTTATTTTGAAACATGTTAAAATGACCCAACTATTTACTAAATCAATCCACCACAAAATGGATAACAAGAAAGGTTGGGATGAGAGTTGGGAACAAGGAAGGGAGAATGGTGGGGTCACAATGAAGAAGGCTAAGAACAAAGGGAGTATGGGCTGGGAACAAGGGAGGTCATGGTTGTAATAATGGTTTTTGGACATAATCCATTTTTTTAATGATGGTTATGATAGGATTGGTCAATTTAGTCAATGTCTGGGTCATTTTAACATTTTCTATTGTAATAGATATTTGAAATAAAAAGAAGATATGATTTTTTTAGAAGTATATAAAAAAATAAGAAGAAAAAATTAGGATTAAATATATATATATATATACATATATTTTTTAAGATTTTTTTTTATATACTTAAATTATATTTTTTACTATATATATATTTTAAATTTCTTTGTTGTAAAATATCTAAGCCCTTTCTACAATTATATTAAATTCAATTTAGCTCATAGAAAGATAAAAAGAAAAAACAAATACAACCTTAACATTACTTTATTTTTTTTTGTAGTATTCATGAGACTAGTGTTAGACTATTCTCATGAATACTACAAATTTTTAGTACTTATTTATATGATTATTTATATGTAAATAAATCTTTGATTTTTTGAACAAAGACATGGAATGGCAATATAGATACATAATTTAAAAAATATACAAAATTAACATTAAAAAAACATGAATAAAAAAATTAATGATAAGATGGATTATGACTTTTAAAAAAAATCAAGACCTAAAAAATATTTGATAATCAATTTTTAAAAAAAAACAAGACCTAAAAAGTATTTGATAATTAATTTAAACATAAAATCTTTCCTATATTGAATTAATTATAAATATACTGGATAAATAATAAGTAGATTAAATTTATTTTATAATATATTTTTTATTCTTAAATTTGCATTAACAAGAAGTATTAGAACACATTATTATGAAATAATTCAAATTGAAGAAGATAAATTTATTAAATAAAATGATGAAAGTAATATACACATCAAATCATATCATGTATATTATTGACATTTATTAAGGACATGAATTTAAAAAAACCAAAGAATTAATACATTCATGTTTCATTCAAAAAGAATAGATAATTATTCAAAGATAGTATAATACTAAACTAGAATAACCATTGTTTAAGATAAAAAACTACAATCTTTTAAAATAAGATAAGGGATATGAAAGATGTTTAACAAAAATAAAAAAAGGCTTTATTCTTGTCTCTATATATACTACCTAACTTGGAGCTATGTTGCAACATTATATAAGACTTCTAATACTTGATCTACTTGTAAAACATATATCTAATTTACAAGACAAGTTTTACAAATGCGCCACATGACAAACTTCTATGACAAATAGCCAACATATGCCATACATAGTCAACTTGTTGGCCAAGTTTTTTAACCTATTAATTACCTACAAACATGTATAAAGCCATATTGTGTCTATAATACTTTCAAGAAGCTATTTCACAAGATAATATTTAAACTAATTACTTCTATTTATTTCTATTAAATTCTCTTAATCATTATATATATATATATATATATATATATATATATGTAAAATTATTTCTTCTTTTTTTTAGAATCAAGTTCCATAAGGATCAATAATTACAAATTAAAGAAGTCTAAGATGCAATGAATTATATTTTCCACATACTCTAATCTTTGCTCCATTTAAAGGTAGTTAATAAGTCCTCTTAGTCATCAATGATGCCCTATACTAAGGCAAAAAGACCACCATTGTCATATTATGTGTCATCCTATTTGGAAATGCATTGAGCATCTGGTTGTGGAAGGCGGGATTGTATTTTATAAGTATCCAAGTATCTTAACATGTTTTGCCCTTATAAGAAGAATGCAATTTGAATTTTAATTCAAAAGTGCTTAAATCTAATACAAAGTACTCAAAAACACTCTTCTTAGTAATTTTAACCATACATAAACTCCAATTGCTTTATCACTTTCATAATCAAGCAATTTTGATTTTTCTTTGCAAGCTCTAACCTTAATCAAAAAGCTTTAGTGACTTATAGTTCTTAATCTAAATATCCACTTGAAGTAAAATTTTGCACACAAATGCTACTATAAGTCTTTTATATGTTTGAAAAGAACTTATTCCAATCTAATATATAGATTGTGAAAAAATATCCAGAAACCACATTAATATAACTTGGCCACCAACTTAAAAGTTGATGCAAATGTTCTAGTAGTGATTTCTCCTTCTCCAACTATTAATTTCAATTCAAGATTGGTATATAGCTTAATCTTTAAGTCTTCTAAGACTATGGAAAATTTCACTTTGATCTAACTAGTATATCTTAGGATATCATAGAAATCCTATCCAACCCTAATCTACTAACTTCCGATACTTGCTTGTACCAAAATCCAAATATCTCCCAACCGGACTATTAGATTATTATAAAATTTCACATATACTTAACATACCTAATTAACTAAATATTATTAAATTTTGAATCATAGATGTAATACTAATTTCACAAACTAACCAAGAATACTAGCTCTAATTTTATTACATAGATTCGAAGTTGCTAATACAAATCCTGACTTTGAACAACAATTGCCTTATCAAAAAAAATCCTACAAAAATAAGCTTTATGTTTCTAGAATAAATTCCAAGCTAGCTCTTCAATCCTAATCATTGATCTTCAAATGTCCCCATATTTGTCTTGAGTCATCATTTTAGTAGCTAAAGGTTTGATTTTGATTTTATTTCACAAATGGTCAATCCTTAGATATTAATCTAACTTATCCTAGGGGCTTTTTAATCCAACCCTATTTTCAACTTAATTCTAATATCAACTATGCTAATCATTTACCTCTTCTAACTTGATTTTATTAATTTATGGTCTTTCAAAGGTAGTAAAAGAGTCTCTATTGCCTAGAAGGTAAAATTACTAATCAACATTTAACCTACTAACTATCAAGACAAGAAAATAAACTAAGAGGCTTTTATAAAAGCCATGTTTAAATAACTTAAATTATTATTGAATAAAAATAATTAGATATTAATTATAAATTTATTTTTTTATTATATTTTCATTATGTTATCTTGAAGATTGAGACAATTGCAACGTTCCATCAAATAACTCAGCAAATAACAGTTTATGAATTGAATTTGTTAGATATTAGTTCTTAATGTCCATAGTTATAAGTATACAAAAATTACAAAAAATGATAGAAGGTAGAATATAATCTTTCTTAAATCTTGTTTCTTTTATAGCAAAGATTTGTTACTCTTCATCTTGTTTTTGATGGATATTTTTAATAAAAAATATCAAATCTTTTTGCTAAATTTATAATATTTTTGACTAGTTTCTATGTGCATTTATTGATATCATATCTCCATCAATGTAGAAGATATTTGAAGTTGTTTTGAAGCTTTTTTGAGTCTAAAACTTTTTCAACTTCAAACTCTTGATTATTATCAATATACAATTCTTAAATCTTTTGGTGTTGGATTATTAACTTTTGAGAAGCCAAAAATATAAAGTTGTTGATGATAATTATAATTTGCAAAGAAGGATATTTTTTAAATAAAAAATATACCATATTATTATAAAAAAATTCTTTCAAAAACAAAAGAGTTGTCTAATCATCTAAATGATAGTCAATAGTACTTCTTAAATATTATTCCAAAACTTGATTGACTTATTTGGCTTGTCAATAAATTTGATGATAGAAAGCCAAAGATAGTTTTATTTTGATAATTTTGATTGATAATATTTATATAAATTTATTTCAATTATTTTTTTATAATTATCTTATAAAATATTCACCAAAAAAAATAAATAGATATTTTTTTCTTATTTCATAATACGGTTTGATTTTTTTTATATTAATTCTAATAATGATTTTGTCAAGTAATATTATTATTTTTTTTTATTAAAATGATCCAAATTGACTATATAAGGTCCCATATATTTATATTAAATTTTTTTTTTCCTTGTAGAGGTTTTTTTAATCATAAAATTAATTGATATTTTTTATATTTATTAATTTTTTAAAGAATATTTTTATTTTTTTATTGTAAATTGTTCTACCATACATGTTGATCAATATGGTATGGTTTTCTTTCTAAAACCTATCAAATAACTTAGTTACTATCTTTACTAAGACAAAAAATATGCTCATGTTGAAATTATTGTTGTAATTGAATTCATATTATATTTTCTTCAGCTTTTGCTCTTCATAAATCCATCTTACAAACTTGATGAAGTCTATTTTTTTTTTTTTTATTTTTTATTATAGTCACATATTAAAAATTTAAGTTTCTTTTTCAATTTCATTTATGTATTGAATAGGCAAAAGTATTTCTATGCCATAAACTAAGAAATTTATTAATCAATTTAGCTTATCCATTTCTTTAAGGATAATAAGTGGTGGATTTCTAATGTTGAATCATAAATTTTATTGTCAATAATTGAATTGTTTCATTAATAAAATGTACTTGCTGATTATTCATTAAT